GGAGGCCACCTTCCTCTTTCAAAATCCCGCCGGATTTTCTGCCGGGGAGTTAGGGGCAGAGAAGGGGGGGGGGGGAGAAAAAGAAGAAGAAGAAGGAAAAAAAGAGAAACTCATGACCGTTATGAATAACAGCTGGCCAAGTGGAAGGGGTGGAGGAAGGGGGTGGTGGTGGATTTGTATCGTGCTTGATGCACTCGCATTCATAAAGATTACCACCCGAGTTTTAATGTTTCTCCTCGTTGAAAAATCTATTCGTGCCTTTTTAAACAACCGAGCTGTGCTACCTTGTGCACACAAGATGGCGGGGAGAAAAGAAAAGAGCCCCCTCCCCCTCGTCGAAAGCGTTGAAAGGCGACATAAATCGCGGAACTCGCCGCGAGCCTTTAATTAAGCATATGTAATAGGGTGTAAATCCATTTATCTGGCGCCCCTGGCTTTTTCATACTACTGAATGCTTGATTTACCTTACCTTGCTGCTTGCCTCGACTTCTTCTTATTCTCGAATTCACTTGATTAATTAATTTCGGATGCGTGATGAAGTAATGCGCGGGCATATAAATGGATTGGAGGTTTTTTTATACGATTAATATTAATATGCGATTATATGTGCAAGGTAACGTTGATAATCGATAAATTTTTTTTTATGTCGTTTTATTTTTTTCCAAAGATACGTTTTCCGATATTAAATGACGTTTAAATGATGTTTTATGCGTTTTTTGATTAACAATATTCGTGTAAATCATTAATTGATTTAAGAAATTGCAAAAATTGGGAAATTGAGGTAATTGGATTTTTCCAAATTTTCAATAATTCCTTTTGTTCTGAAACTTTCGTTCACTCAATTTCACTTCCCAAAAGAATTGCCCTGTTCTCAATATCACAATTTCAGTCATTTCCATCCAACGTATAATTTTTAAAAACCCTCTCTGTAATGCGTTTTTGACGTAATATCCACCGGTAGGACAGAAAAAGAAAGCTAGTAGAATGTCGGTCATTAGTCGAGCAATTCGTTCCTGCGGATGGGACTGATGATATTAAAGAATGAAAAAAAAAAAAAAACGAGAAAAATTCAAAAAAATAAAAAAAAAGAAAGAGAATCGAAAGAAGAGCGGAAGATCGAAAAAATGGATTGTTTATTCCATTATGCGTAGCTCATTAGGGACCTGAATATAACTCACGAAAATTACGGTTCTCAAGACGTCCGCAAGATGAGCTCTACGATGAATATTTCATATATTCGGAAGTTAAAAGGATCACCATTTATTTACCTCGACCAATTATTTTTTTTTTTTTTTTTTTTTTTTTTTTTTAACGTTCAACGTCGAGACCAAAATTAACGCGTGTCCCTTTGTCGCGTTATTTACACGTAGGTGAATAATTAATGGAGCTGACTTGATTGGCTGGACCTGATTGGCAAGGTTTCGTTTTATAAACGGATGAATTATCGATACGCCCGAAGCGAAATCTTTCGATCGCTAATCGCAGCTGTTGCAACTGTTTTAGGGATCTTTAATGCTAACTAAGAGCCGAAAGGTATTCCGGGCATTTCGTAACTGCTTAATTAAACAAGGTTTTTTTCCATTTTTATTATTATAATATTTTTATTTATTGCAATAATTTTGAATTAAAATTGCAATTTTAATTTTTTGAGTATGATAGGAATGACGCTGAGTTAGATGTAGAAGGGTCGTGATAAGAAAAGGGTTGAACTTTATATTGTGAATTGTTCTCGATTTATTTCCTGTCGGAGATATTTATGTAAAAGATATAATAAATGTATCTTGATATTTTAAGTATATACGATTTAACAACGTTGTATTTATACCGATTACAAATTTTAAATCCATTTACAATTTCTGAAAATCCCTTCGACCATTCCTTTTATATAAATGTATTCTCTGACCCGACCTCCACTATCTCGGTACCTAAAGTAAAGGTAAAATATATTATCAGATTCCGCATTCGTTACGTTTTTGTCCCTTACATTAAAACTAAAATTGTTACATAAATTGAATCAGCGTTTGAAATATGCGAATACATCACATTTCATTTGATTTGTAAGATGAAGATATGATTGTATACCAATTCTGAATAATGATGAGCAATCTCTAAAGAGATTAAACATCAGATTATTAATATCTTTATAAATCTATAAATTATTCGCTCTGAAAGAAATATCTCGATATTTCTAAATAGCTAGATATTAAAATCTACAATTTCGAAAATCTCGATATATTACATAACATTTTTAATAAGCAAATATATATTTCAATGGCAACGTTTAACCAACCAATACTAAAATCAATAGATACCTCTATTTAACACTTCGATTCAGGATATTCACGCTATATCGATTCCACCTTCCACCCTATACAATCCACTACAACTTTCTTCCCTCCAAATTCATTCCAGTCTCCCAGTAACCCACCACCACTACCACCACCACCACCACCACCCTATCGGCCACGGTAGCTTAATCAAGATTCCGCTCTATTACGAAGTCCACGTTCAAGCCTGGCGCGCGATCGTTAACGTCGACAAGAGCACGTTCACCCACTATAAACTATTGCCGCAATCGGCGTCGTAAGTCCACGTTTCCCTCGATTGTCCGTGCATACGGGATAGATCCGGGCGGAATGGAGTCGTCGTGGCCCGCAATTAAGCGTAAATCGATCGTTTCGAACGTTTCGTTTTCAACGTTTATCAACCGCGAATCTATATACACATAATAGGAAACGGGAAGCGAACGTAAATCCGCAAAACGGAGGGTGAAACAAAGGGTGTAACACGAGGATGCAAAGCAACGATGCATCCTCCTCTATTTGACCAAGAAGTCGGTGCTCAAGTTAACGAGCCCCCTGGCGGTGTACACACGACGAGGTGTATACTGTGCGTGCATCAGCATCTACCTTGAAACGCAAAACGGCTAAATTGTTCGTTATATTAATCCAAGCAAGTGCAACGCTTGCTCTATTGCATCGTGTGGATTGTTCGTTGTTTCCAAGCGTTTGTGTTTCGCTGTTCTTCGTACGGGGCCGTGTATTCATCCCTCATCTCTTCGCCTCCCCTCCCTCCCCCCAGGCGTTCCCATTCACACCGTTTCGGGAGAGGGGACACGCGTTTAATCCCGATACGCTACCTCATTATAATCCCGTGGCTGACCAATAACGATACCCCTCCCCTCCCCCTCCGATTAAATGACCAACGATTTCACGGTTCCGAATCGGTGACTATCTACACACGCGGCGCATTAACGCGTGTCGCGTTACGGGATTAGACTTCCGGCCACACTGGCGCCACACTTGTAACCACCGTAGCGCATGCCTGTCATGTCCATGCTGGGATTACGTAATAATCGCGATTTCCTATTTCGTCGCCTTTCGACCCCTCTGGTTACCTGGCGAGGTAATAACTGCTACTTTGCCCAAGATTGGGAGTAAGTGGACTATTAGCGGACTTAATGCAGCTTGTAGCTTTGGGGTAATTTGCCTTTGCCTGTTCCCAAATTTGCTGATGGAAGGGGGGAGAGGGATATGAACGAGAGGAAAGAAAAGGGTATTTTTATTAATACCTGTTAGGTGTTAAATGATTTGTACAAAAGCAAATGTGTTATTTGAATCTAATTATCTATCAGGATATTGGAATCAATTTTTTTTTTATTTAAGTCAAATTTTTAATCCGTTTGTCTTTCGAGGAGGAGAAAGAATCGTAAGGATGTCACAAATGGCGAGTATTTTGAATTGTTTTCGCCAAGTTGCATCCCTTAATATTTAAGGGATATATTTAAATTATAATAAATTAAATTATAATAAATTAAAAATATATTAAATATAAAATATATTAAAATATATTATTAAAAATATAATAAATTAAATTAAATTATAATAAATTAAATTTAAATTATAATAAATAAGGGATATATTTAAATTATAATAAATTATATTAAATATTTAAATTAGTTGGAGACAAAAGTTGAATCGAAATCGTCGAAGCTCAAAGAGGCAAATAGAAACGAGAATCTCACCGATAAAGGAATGATTGTAATTTATTCGATGTTGAGGAGGATCTCGTGCCTCGATCACAAAGAGGGATCATTAGGAGGCAGGTTGTTCTTTATCCATTGGTGGAGGCAGGGAACCGATTTTCGGTCGGCTTCCTTTGGAGAATTTTCACGAAGGATCCTCGGAATCGCCTCGAGGGCGAGTTACTCTCGCTGCTTGAATGCAGGAAGCTCGTATGCATATGAACTATCCTTATCTTTATCTCGATGCCGCTCATTGGACAGGAACTCGTTTTCTCGATAAAGACCGAGGGGGAAGGGGGGAGGACTTCGAACAAGACTCGGCTCGTGTAACGCTTTCGTAAATAACGCGATGACTCGATCCATTCGCGATAAACTTTTAACGTTTAATTCGTTAAATTCCGTGAATGTACGATCGTTTTCGAGATTTTTTAATTTTGTTCGTGTTGGACGAATATGGGAAGTATTGAGATACGAAGAATGTAGAACCTGTTATTCGTTCTCATTCGGAATATTTCTCGATTATTTTTAACTCGATAATTTGTCGAGTAAAATTATATATCGAGAGATACAAAGACATGCTTTTTGTATCTTTATCTACATTTAGGTTTTTATATTAATTAAAATTTTCTTTTTTTTATTTTAGAAAAGAAAGATTTATATAAGCATCCGTTAAATTATTGTAATTTTAATTTTTAATATTGTTGCAAAGGATTATAATAGTACTTACATTAGATATTATAGTACAAGCATTAGAAGCACAAGAACTTCTAATGTTTGTTATAATTCTATATTATTCTAATTCTTATTCCTCTTATTTTCTTAATTTCTTTTCCCTCTTAATTCAGGAATTTCATTTGTTCGTTTTTAAAATAAGATTTTAGGTAATTTTATTTTATTAATTGGACAAATTGTGAAGTTGATAAAATCATTAAGTGTTTAAAGTATAATTTCTAAAATAATATTCCAAGTATTTTAGGCTAGAAGTCAGATGCAATAGTAAGTTTGGAAGACAATACCGGAAGGCGAAATGTGCCTAATTGTTTTCTTCCCATCTATTCATCTTCTCTTTCATCATGCCAGAAGCTATTATGTATTGCAAAAACGGGGCAAGATGTGTCTCCATCTTCACGGATTCATCATAATTGGTGAGTTTCTGACAATTTATTAATATTTATTTAATATTCGTTTCGTTTTTAAAACAGTTTTATAATATTTTCATCGCGAAAATGAAATATGGATATAAAATAACCAATCTTTTAAAATCTTTTAAAATCGATCCTTCAGGAAACAAAAAGTTAAGCAAAAAATTCAACGAGATTTCCTCGTTTTCCTTTTTTCTTCTTCTTCTTCTTCTTTTTTTTTTTTTTTCGTTTAATCTAATATCGTGGAAAATAGGAAAGAATCGTTGAGCTTCGATATCGGTTGATCATAAAATACTTTCGATTCGATTAAGAACAGGAACGTAGATACGAATTCAGAGTGATAGATCGAAACTGAATATCATTATACTTGCGAATGGAATTAAATCTTTTAAACAATGAATATATTTGGATATATATCGACGAACATCGTGATAATTGATATCTTTTTCGCATCGACGTGTGAAATTAATGCCAGAACGTGATCGATAAAAAGAAAGATTTTAAAAGAATCTCACAGCTTTTCCATTATTAACCTCATAAAAATTAATCACATATTGGAAAAGAGAAATAATCGGAAACTTTTTCACCAAAAATATCATATTTGATATTACATTTTTGCCAGATATACCATATTTGAGATTTATTATGAATTTTAATATCATTTTAATAACGATTAACTTGACACAAATATAAAATATCTTCTCCTTTCCGTTTCTCGTCGGTCGACTCATTCGACCAATTAAATTCGAACGTTTCTCGATTCTTCAATCTATTAACAATCCCACAATAGCTTTAACAAAAAAAGTCTATCCTCGTGTTTTTCCATTCCTTTTTGCATCATCGAATATAATCTCTAAATATCAATATCGTGATGCATCCATTCCCTCTCTCTTGATATCATCCCAAAGATTATTAATTTCGATCTTCAGACATTCCAAACATTTAAAAATTAACACCTCACGTATATATATATATATATTCCTCTCATTCTGTTCGAATTATTACCACTGAAAAAAGAAAGAAACTTTCGAAACTTTAATTCAGAGGGTGGTTAAAAAAGTAATAGCAGACCAAGGTTTGTTCCGGAGAAGCATAATAAAGCAGGGTAACGCAACGTGTCCCTTTTTAACGAAATATACATGCCCCACTTTTACGATCCGCGCTCGGTTTACGTCCTACGACCCTATTTCCACCGCCCGTTTTATTCTTTCCCCTCCGTCGCGTCCGTCGCAGTTTTGGCTCGTCGCGTTTTTCCAAACCTTCAACCTCCCCTCCCCCCAAACCCTTTCCCGTGGAACGTTGTTGCCGGAGTCTTTGTCGCCGGTTAAACGATGTCGCTCGCTCGCTCGTTCCTTCTTTCTCGTTCCTGCTTCCGCCGCTATTCGAGCCTCCTCCAACCGTACACGCACCCGTGTACACCCGTCCGTGTACCTAATTTTACTGCCCGGTATCAGGTAATTAGAGGTACGTTCCGTGTTCGAACGTGATTTAAATGGAGGCTGTCAAACCAATGGGTGTAGTATAAGTCTGGGGTACAAATGTAGGAGAGGAGGAGGGGGTCGATTAAAGAATCATACTCGTGTACACACACGTGGAGTGGATTTATCGTATTCCTCCCGCGATTTAGACGATTTTCTGTGGTTCTGCGACACGAGTGGATTAAAATGGGATGAATTCTGATTCTCTACGACTCTATTACTTCGGTTTCTTTTCGTTAGTTTCGTGATTTACTATTTTTTGCTTCGCTGCTTTAATGGATTGCGCGGTTTATGCCCGCGTTTTTTGACACCGTATTCCGTTGGAATTGGTAATTTGGATTTCGTTGGATGATTTCGTAACTCCGTTGTAACGCTTGAAAAATAGAAAAGGACGCAGGGAGGATATCGAGATTAACGAGAAATTTAAAATCGATACACGGAAACTTGCAATCAGAAACAGGAATAAGAAGGGGATTCGTGGCGTGGAAAAGGCACAGGGGAAAGAAAGAAAGAAAAAAAGAATAAAAAAAGGAGGATAAGAAGTCCATCGAAATCGATACGGGCACGATCAAACGTTTCAAACGGGTTGAATTCTTGGCCGGTTTCGATAGAGGCAGCCTTTTAGAGACGGCTCATAGAGAAACGTTGGAACGGAGATGCGTGCCGTTTCTTTCAGCGTGCGCGGAATCCGATAAGACGTCTCGAAGAATCCGTGTACACGAGCCACCACAGCCCTGTCCCTCTCCTCTCCGATTTTCCGTCGAGGAAACGTCGAAATCGGGACGGTTTTGGTGGAAATTTCTCCGGTGGAAAGAAATTCGATCGTTCTCTGTACGGGTACTCACGTACTCACCCCTTCCCCACCCCCTCACGAGACACGTATAAACAAGGAGAGGAGAGCAGGGGAGGAAAGGAGAGGCTGGATTCACCTACAGAAAACGGTTACACGCGTGTGCGTATATTAAACGTATTGCTGTGTCGCCATCCACACGTACATTTAAAGAGACGAGGTCCTTTTAAAGTCAACATTCTTCTCTTTGGAAGTGTTCTCTGTGAAGCAAGGGATCGGGATCGTTGTTGCCCGATGAAAATGCTTCCTTTCGACGGCAAACCGATCCCATGGATGCCACCACCTTCGGTATTTTGATAAAGGTGGAGCGTCGAAAATTCCATTACTTTTCCTCTCTAATTGTTCTCGGTTTAGGGGGCGGTTCTCCTTTTGTCTCTCAACGATTAACGATTGTTACTCGATCTTTTCCAACGCGTGTATTCTTTTATTTTGGATGGATTGGAAATAATGTTATAATTCATTTTTATTTTGTGGCCTTTCGAATATTAATCGGATATTCAATCGAATATTTTACTTAGGATACATTGAAAACTAGATATATAATATAACGAGAAAATTATGTTTGGTTAGATTTTTCTTCGTTTCTCGATCGAGAAGTGTTGCATCGAAATTTTAACCGAAATAAAAATTTTTACCAAATATAGAAATATATAATTTTCATTAACGCTTACGTGCTAATCGATGTAACAAAAGGTTAATTGATTCTTTGTTATTTCTAGTTAATTATCTCACATTCGAATTTTCATTATCATTGTAACATATTTAAATTTGTCGTCGAACGAAGCAGCTCGAGGTTCGTCTTCCAAATGGGATAATGGAGTCGCCTAAGGGTGTATTAATAAACATTGCTTCCAACCACCCTGATGCTTCCATGCTTCCGCGTAATTGTTGCGCGGTTCTTGTCTCGTTCGCAACAACAAATGCATCCAGTGAACATGGTCGGTGATTGTCCTTTAGAACAACATACGTGGATTAGCCGGTGACATGGTAATCGTGTATTTTCCCATGAACTGAGAAATGCATCATAGCCCATCTCATCTCTCTGATTTGACTGGTCTATTGTTGGTCGTCTCGATCCTATAATTGCTGCTTAAGTAACAAATGTCGAGCTTCCTCTTTTTATGTGTTTTTCATAGAAAAAAATAAAATCGCTGATCGCGTATTATAAATTTATTCGAAACGCCGAATAATATTATTCAATATTATTTTCCAAGATTTAGATTTTAAATCTAGACGAATTTGATTAAGTGATGATTCAGAAATGTTTATAAATAATGAACGAAAACACTTCTTTGTTAGATCTCGTTTTTAAATCAATTATTATTGTTATAATATTACAAATAAAATATAGTATTAGAAATTTAAAAAAATTTAAATTTAAAAATATAATATTAGAAATTTTAGAATTTCGAAATAATATGCCGGGGAAAATTCTCATAAAACAAAAAACAAAGGACAACGATCGAAATTATTCTCATCCACTTCAAATCTAAAATACACAAACAGAAATTCCAAATATACAATTCGATGATCAAGCTTGAATTTCTGCCAAACACTCGTCCCCGTGCTTCATTCTTCAAATAAAAGCGAGAGAGAGAGAGAGAGAAAGAGAAAAAAAGAGAGAATCGGGGGTACAGGTCGAGAGTTGTATTCGACCTCGACACGAATCACAGAGAACGCGGACTATTTTAATGATTTTAATGAAGTAGTTTATCTTCGCGATCGAGTGTTCGTACACAACCTCTCCCGACCGGATGAAATTCGTGTTCAGGGCTGTGTGTCGATTGTCATCGATTGAAAAATCAACGTTTCGTGGATTCGAACGGGAAATTAAGTAGTCTTAATTAGAATATAATCGCGAGAGGATGTGCCGAATTTCAAACAAAAGGAGGCGATCCTAGGTTTTGGGTGGAAATCGTGTTGTTTTTCGACACTTTGTGCTTTTTCAACGGTGGTGGAAGATCAAATTCCGCCAATTCTCTCGAGACAATGCGTGTGAAAAGACGTGATTTCATTCGAGATTTCTTCCAGGGAGGATGTTTTTCTTTTTTGAGATTTGGAAAAGTGTGTAAAGGGTAAAGGATTTAGATGAAAGGGGTATTGAGGGGTATTAAAAATGATAACGATCTATTTTATTATCAGGGTAAGGGAAGCGTAAATTCAATGTAGAATATTTAATATTGTACGTGGAATGTTCAATTTGGGAGTAATTTAAATTTAAATTCGGTTTAATTTGGTGTTTATTAATTTAATTTAATTTGCTTGTAATAAATTAAATGAGGGATTTGGTAGAAAATGATAGGTACAAATGGTGGTGAAAGAAAGATATGAATGTAGTGGGGTATCGAATAACAAAAGTCTGACAGTTGTAAAGGTTTTATAGCTCCAAAGGGAGAGAATAAATTATTGAAGCATAAAATTGAGAATTAATTTAAAGAATTATTATAATTTTTTAATCATATTAAAAGTAACTTCGAGTGTTTTAATCCTAATATCTAATATAAATTAAATAACTATTATTATTTCTATCGAGTACTATGTAAGTTTTAAACTTTTTTTTTTATATAATCTTTCATAAAAGAATGTCGATCGCGAACGCGAAGCGGATTTTACGTTTTTGGATTTGTATCTATGTTGTGATTCGCATAGCTATATATACACATATATGTATATGT